GGGAAGTTTGTTGTGGATTTCGCGTTGCACGCGTCCAGACTTGTCATTTGCCGTTCATCAGATGACGAGAAAAACCCATGATCCAAGGGAACACGACTTACAACTTGGTAAAAGAATTTTACGATATTTAAAGGGAACAAAATACTTGAAGTTGAAGATGGGAAATCAAGAGCAAACTAAAGACTTACCTGATGGTTTTATCACCGGCTACAGAGATGCAGACTTTGCTGCGGACACTGAGGACCGCAAATCCATGATTGGAGGAGTGATTTTTGTAGGAGGATGTAATGTGGGTCGGAAATGTCGAAAACAGGCATCAGTGTCGCAATCAACGGCAGGGTCTGAATTCATAGCGGCATCGGTCGTAGCAACCGAATTACATGGACGTTACTATATGTTCGATGAAGTTGGCGCTCAAGGGATCCATAACTGGTTACTCTTTGTCAATAACCAAGCAGCTATAGTGCAATTAAAAGGAGAAAGTTCGACATCTAAACTTAAGCATGTCGATATACGCTATAAATATGTACAAGAACGTATCCGAAACGGAATGTTGGAGGTGAAATACGTACAGAGTGAAGAAATGAAAGCCGATTTGATGACATAGACTTTGTCGGCGACTAAACTTGGAGAACTCCGCGCGCTTTGTGGTCTCGTGGACGATGTACAGCACACCGAGGGAGGAATGTTGGAAACAAGTTGAGTCTCCACCTAAGTAAATAAAGGAGGAGTTATGAAACTCCCAACCATTCGCATAACTAAATAGCTACAAGCAGAATACATTCACTTGGAAACTCACCTTCAAACCACCAGGTCCTTCCTTCCTATCTGTAATTTACAGCACTTTGCGCAGAAGTATCGGGCCACCGATTTAGTTCAACATGTTTTCTTTCGACTTGAACATGCAAACGTTAGTGTGAACTATATCAAACCGAAAGTAGTACTGTAGAAATATCGAAGAATACTTTTGCAGCTACTTGTATCCAGCATACTCCCTGTTTATCCATGGGCTGCTTCTAGAGTGTCTGATATTATGCAATGTGAACAGGAGCTCATGTCGATTTCCATAGCAACACTAACCGAGATTGCTTTTTCAGCTGCAGCTGCAGCGCTAGAAACTTTACGCTACGTAGAGTTGGTTTTATTGTTTGACCGTGTACATTAAATCAGTGGGATTCGATCAATGGCAGCTTGAAAATGACCACAGCACAGGATAAAGGATCCACCTAGGAATAATTCACACGGTTTGTAAATGATTTACACGAGGGTTGCATCCACACACAACATTTATCTGCTCAGCCTTAACACAACCACCTTGAAGCAAAGTATCAGACTTTCAAAGTTCAAGAGAAGTTCGTGTGTACCACTAAATTATCAGTTATAGCCCGTTTAAACTCTTACATTGCCGAATCTGATATATTTGTATCGTATTCAACTCTTCCATTTGCACGCATTAAGATAGAGACTCTGCAAATAGGTGTTTCGTCTTAACGTTTTTTGCTACAATTTTTGGTCACTGGAACTATGGTGTGCTCAGCATCCTCACCAGCATTTCTTACGCGTTCTGCACTACCTCAGCAATCGATTGCGCAATATACTCAACGTTCTTGGAAGTGACACCAGCCATACTCACGCGGCCGTCTTTGGTCAAATAGATGTGATGCATCTCGATCATGCGCGCCACCTGGGCCTCCGTCAAACCAGTGTAGCAAAACATGCCAATTTGGTCCGTGATGTGACGCCAGTTCGCCTTGACACCATTATCCTTTTCAATTTTCTCAATTGCCGAGCGAAGAGCCGTACGCATTGAAATGATACGATCAGCCATACCCTTGCACTCGCTGTACCACTGATCTTTAAGCTGCTTATCCGACAGGATCGTGGACACAATGAGCGCACCGTGGATTGGCGGATTTGAGTACATTGGACGAATGATGATCTTGAGTTGTGACTGCACACGCTCAGCCTCTTCTTTGCTATCGGTAACGAAGCTGAGAGCACCCACTCGCTCACCATACAGACCAAAGTTTTTGGCATACGACTGAGAGAGAATGACGTTGTGTCCTTCCTTCACAAAGAAGCGGACGGCAGCAGCGTCATGGGATGCATCACCCGAGGCAAAGCCCTGGTAGGCACAATCGAAAAACGGGACATGCTGTTTAGCTTTCATGATATCTGCAATACTCTTCCACTGCTCAAGTGTGGGGTCCACACCCGTGGGATTGTGGGCGCATGCGTGCAATAGGAAGACCGATCCGTCTGGAGCGCCCTGTAAGTCGTTCATCAGGCCAGTAAAGTCTAAACCACGCGAAGCAGGCTCATAGTACGTATATCGACGCACTTCCATACCCGCATCCTTCATGATGGGGATGTGGTTTCCCCACGTTGGATTGGGCAAGTAGACAGGAGTGTTCTTCCCCAAAAACTTTGAAAAAAATTCACCAGCAAGACGCACACCACCCGTGCCAGAAATGGTCTGCACACCAGTAATTCGTCCTTCCTTCAAAGCTTCACAGTCTTCGCCATAGGCAAACTCTAGCGATAGATCCACAAAATCCTTCATACCGGCGATACCAGCGTACTCCTTATTTTTACCAGCAGCCATGATACGCTTCTCAGCCTCCAGTACAGATCGTAGCACGAATGGCTTTCCATTATCGTCACGGTAGGCGCCAACACCTAATGATACTTTACGTGGGTCTGTGTCCTACATTCATAAGGCGTGTCATCATTTAACGTGTGCAGACATGAAAATTTGACATTCTTTCGCACCTTGTTAAATCGATCAGTCAAACCCAAGATCGGGTCGGCGGGGCCCATTGGAATACTGGCCAGCCATTGACCGGTCGCTGCCTTAGTGGCTAAGCCGCGCGTGGCCTGGAGCATAGGACTAGAGATCATAGTCGTCACTTTGAGCCGGGTTTTTGAAAGTGACGCTCATCCAGTGAGTAATTAATATTGCAGAAATAATGAATTGGCGTTTTGATCCTGTAGTATGCTGGTTGAGAGGAGGCTAAGTATCAAAAATGCATCAAATAAAAAGGAGTCATATTATGACTAATATGATGCATTGACGCTTTATAAGATATTAGCAATTTTGGCCCTTTTAAAGTCAAGTTACGATTATACGATGCAGGTAGAAGGGTGGAAATGTAAGTAACCAATTACAAAATAGTATAATGTTTCTGTTTTTCACTCAATCAGAGCTAAACGTAACGCGTAAGATATGCAAATCTTTCTGCAATTAAACAGTCTAATCTCTACTGTCTTTACGCACCCGTATAGATTCTCAAGCGCCGTATCGTGCTCACCTCGTAATTTCTAGCTGTGCTGCTGAAATTAAAATCATTTCCTGTTTTCCCCATATTGTTGTCATCTCGAAACTCTGCTGCTCGTTTTTCATCCACAAGCCATTCATCTCGTCCGTTTGTCTAAGCTTGCGCTTGTATTCCACTCGCTCCTGTTCTGTGGCAATTGTTTATATATCAGTCATTTTTGATGTAGAAGGCTAGCTTACGTCAGTTTTTTCTGGAAAATAACAATATACTACGATGTAACAACCTTCATGACAGCTCTTTTGAGAAAGAAAATTTAACAGCTTTCGCTCACAACTCTGTTCTCAGCTTAAGTAAAGGATCGATGACTTTGCGCCAGTCCGTTATATTCCATGAAGAATCGGCTTGATCGAATGGAACACCGTTCAATTTATATTGCGGCGTACCGGTGACAGTACGTGTGCACGCGTATTTCCACGTGACACGCGCATATTGATCTGCTTCTGTTGTGCCATATCCTGTCATGCCCTTGTCCCACTGCTCGTCAGTTAAAGCTGGAAATGTATTCTTGGCCAACTCTTTCAATTCATTTGTCACCTGCATCGCACTGTAATTTTTCGTCGCCTTGTTTTCGAATCTAGTTCAATCATATGATACCCAGTACATCAGTGTGGCCTCTGACCCTTAGAAATTATTGATCGCTTACTATACCGTTCTTGGTTTTCGTACAGCGTTTCAAGCCACGGAGTAAATTGGTTGTCACCTAACGCCGACGTGATAGTAAAGACTGACTCAGCCGTCGTGAAACTATGTTGGTGGAAGGGCAAGGGGAAGAGAACGGCCTTGATACGAATCTCTTCAGGTTTATAGTAGTCCGCTAACGTCTTTATCCCTTCGTATGCGGCTTTGCTAAAAGGACAAAGCGGGTCAATGTACGTTTCTAATTGCACCTTAGCATCTCCAGTTCCATGACCAATAAGGTATCCTGGTAGTTCACTTGGAATAGGCACTTGGGCAACCGACACATGCAATGCAATGGCCGCAAGCAGCAACGTCACCATCAGCTAAAATTCAAAAGTATCTTTTTCTTAAAGATCCTGACATTGGCGAATCAAAGCTTAGAAGGATTTTGTATAAATTTAAGTTTACTACGATGGCAAAGGCGATCATTCTTGTGCGGATCTTGTTTCTATCTGTGATAGTTTGTTTTGTATCAAATGCCCAACGGATCCCTCGACGTATACCTGGATTTATAATCGGAAGTGGCAATATGGGCGCTGGCGTGCAACTCGAGTCATACATTGATTTGGTAAGATCATTGTGTGCATCGATGTATTTATGTCTACTTAAAACACATGGCTCTCAGTTGTGCCCGGACAGCAAGTCGGCGTATCTAGGTCTGAAGAAACTGTCGGAGTATTATGAAGGTGACGAACTTTGCATTCGTTTCGTGTTGTTTCCATTGCCGTATCATCAGCACGCCTTTAATGCTGCTGAGGCGACATTTACTATCACGACGATTTTGCGGGACGAGAGTTTTACTACGTGGCTCGAAACAATGTACGCTAATCAGGACAGGTAAGTATTCCAATTGACCTGCATATGTATTATTTGTTTTGTATTACCATAGTTGAACATGCTGAGAATTTTGTGTTTCTTGCAGATTTTGGAACAAAGCGACAAAGGACCTAAGCTCGATGCAAGTAGTCGAAAAATTGAAGAAGCTAGCTCAAAAAACATTTCCGTCACTAACGGATAAACAGTGGGACGAATACATGACAGGATATGGAGGAACGGATGTGGACAACCTCGCCCGTGAATCGTGGAAGTACGCGTGCTCGAGAGGCATATCTGGTACACCCTTGTACACGTTGAATGGTGTCCCGTTCAAGGCTGATGCTGACTGGACTTTCGAGCAATGGCGTGAAGTTATTGACCCACTTGTGAAATTCAATCAACACACCAAAAAATCGCAAGTAGATGCTCAGCTTTGGAAAAATGTCCATTTGAGTGGATCTCCTCGTACATTGCCGGATCGAACTGTTTTACATCTTGTGCGCGCTGATGGATGGAATATTGCTGAACAGGCATGCAAGCAAAATACTGGTGGCGAAATTGCATGCGAATTCGCTCCTGGTCGTGTCATGTGCTGCAAGACTGACGAAGTCTGTATATTACGCGAGGGATGCGTCTTGTTGCAATAAGGCGAGATAGCTTGAAGTTTACGATTCAAAATCACCAAAGTCAATGAATGCCAGTCAGAAATTTCATAATTCGTTAGCAATTTATCATAATTGACCAATCATTGGCCGTTTTTTGTTGCTGTCAATTTGTATTCCTTTTTGGTTCGCTCAGTTAGTGATGAAAAACATATCCGTCGCTCAGTTTAAGGTTTGTCTATATTAATGTGTTTAGACATAGTGACTTCTCAATTTTACCAAGCTATGTATACTATACTGTATCAACTCACGTGAAAAAGGATTTATGGGTACATCACCTTAAAATCTTATGATCAATGAACAAAAGATCAAAAGACGACCGGGGGACGTAACTTCTGCTGGGGAGTTTGGTAAACCCCAAACACCCCGTAACTGCTTCCTAACTTTAACCGTAATAGAAGTCGAACCCTCACTCAACAGATTGGAGCCAGCACCCCAAACCACTGAGCCAGAATTTATGTTCGAAATTTGA